TCATTGATAGCGAGGTGAATAAAATGTTGGAAGCCGGAGTGATCGAACCGTCCAACAGCGCCTGGAGTTCCCCCGTAGTCCTCGTCAAGAAGAAGGATGGAGGACACCGATTTTGTATCGATTTCCGCAAGTTGAATCAAGCCTCCGACAAAGATGCCTACCCACTGCCGCACATCCTCGCTACCCTCGATAAGCTCCGAGGGGCCCAGTACCTTTCAACACTAGACTTAAAGGACGGATATTGGCAGGTGCCACTAGATCCGGTCAGCCGTCCAGCCACCGCCTTTACAATTCCTGGGCGAGGACTCTACCAATTTAAAGTCATGCCTTTTGGGTTACATTCGGCACCGGCCACGTTCCAGCGGTTGCTGGATAGTGTCCTCGGCCCGGAACTCGAGCCACACGTATTGGTCTACCTCGACGACATCATCGTAGTCAGCTCGTCACTGGAGACCCATATGGAACATTTGGCCGAGGTCTTCAGACGGTTGAGACAAGCGCGCCTCCGCCTTAACCCACAGAAGTGCCACTTCTGTTGCAGCCGTCTCAAATATTTGGGGCATATAGTGGACAAAGACGGCATTCGAACTGACCCAGACAAGGTCAGCGCGGTAGCCGCGTGGACGACCCCGACAACCGTACGTCAAGTGCGCCAATTCCTCGGCGTCGCCTCCTGGTACCGCCGTTTTGTACCAGACTTCTCCACCACCGCCGCACCGTTGACACGCTTGACCCAAAAAAGAGCACGTTTTGCGTGGGGACCAGAAGAAGAAAAGGCTTTCGACGAGCTGAAGCGGGCGCTCACCACCGCACCAGTTCTTGCTTGTCCCGATTTCAGCCGACCATTCACCCTCCAGACCGACGCCAGCACGTGTGGGCTAGGTGCCGTGCTCACCCAAGAACTATCCGAAGGCGAACGCGTCATTGCCTACGCCAGCCGTACACTAAATAGCGCAGAAAGGAACTACAGCGCTACAGAGCTAGAATGTCTGGCGGTAGTGTGGGGAATCCGTCGAATGCGCGACTATCTGGAGGGTTATCACTTCACGGTTGTCACCGATCACCAGTCGCTTCGATGGCTGCAGAGACTGGAAGCTCCCACCGGTCGCCTAGGGAGATGGGTATTCGAGCTTCAGCAGTACGACTATGACATCCGGTATCGTAAAGGAAAACTGAACATCGTGGCCGACGCTCTCTCTCGTCAACCCGAGGCCTGTGTCATACAAGCCGCTCCAGACTGTCAATGGTACCGCCGCCTTTATCACCAGGTACAACAACACCCGGCCGAACATGCGGACTACCGCATCCAGAACCGACAGTTGCATCGACACATCCTGCATGATCTCAACTTCCACGACTCGCCAAGCGAGGAGCAATGGAAACAGTGCGTCCCGAAACCCCAGCGCGCGGAAATACTGCACCGACTGCATGACGACCCGACCGCCGGACACTTTGGCATTGCGAAGACCATCGCACGAGTAGCGCGCTTATATTATTGGCCAGGAATGTTCCGCGACGTCACTCGATACGTCCGTGACTGCCGAAACTGCGCCACCCACAAGGCCGCACAAACCTTGCCGGCCGGGAAACTTCGAGCCACCAACGTCACGCACCCGTGGCAACAGGTCTCCATTGATCTGGTCGGACCATTGCCACGATCGACCAGTGGCCATACCTGGCTGCTGACCATGCAGGATCGATTCTCCAAATGGATAGAGATGACGCCGCTCCGCCAAGCCACCGCCGCCAACGTCACACGAGAAGTAGCTGGACGTATTATATATCGTCACGGCTGCCCGGACACCATCGTCTCTGATAACGGGACTCAGTTGAGATCGCACCAGCTCGAGGGATTACTACGATCCTTCGGGATCAAGCATAGAACCGCCCCCGCCTACGCACCGCAGTGCAACCCGGTCGAGCGAGCCAACCGCACCATAAAGACCATGGTGGCGCAATATGTGGAAGGCCGACATCGCCGTTGGGATGAACACATTCCCCAGCTCCAGTTCGCTTTCAATACCGCACGACAAGAATCCACGGGATACACCCCGGCCTTTCTGATGTACGGCCGGGAGTTACAATCACCGCATCCCGACGACCGCCGCCCGGCAACGACCAGCAACGCTCCTGAAACAGTTCGACGTCGACTCGAAGACGCCTACGAAATTGTCAGAATCAACCTGGCCCGCGCCTTCCAACATCAACAGCGAAACTACGATTTACGTCGACGCGACTGGCGTCCACAAGTTGGAGACCGAGTATGGAAAAAGGAGCACCCGTTATCGAACAAAGAGCGCGGCTTTAATGCCAAACTAGCACCAAGATTTGGTGGCCCGTTGACGATCAGACGCATCATCTCCCCCGTCATCGTGGACCTGAAGGACGACCGAGGTCGATGGCATCGGCACGTCCACGTGAGGGACTTGAAATCCGCCTCCGAACCGCGTCCTGCGACCGAACCCTAGTCCGATACCCGAGCAACGCGCGCCGATTAACGCCGCCGGTCAACCGTTAGGCATGTTCGCGGTTTCGAATCAAAATACGTGGAGCGGCACTCTTCATGGTCCGCGTCTTGTCGAAAATCTTTGGCCGAATACCGGGAACGACATTCTTCATGGTCCGCGCTTTGCCACCCGGTCCCGAACCGAGAGCGGCACTCTTCATGGTCCGCGCTTTGCCACCCGGTCCCGCACCGGGAGCGGCACTCTTCATGGTCCGCGTCCAGATCACCGAGGGGTATAAAGAACGGGCACCCTTGGGTCGGAACTCATCCCGTCACGATGGAAACACCAAACGAAGAAGCAAACCAGCGCTCAAAAGAAAATCCGTCCGTTTCCGGACGAAATCTGCCCGTTTCCGGGCGAACCACCCGGCCAGTACCGGGAATAGGGACCCGCATCCAGCGGTCCGACGCCGAGCAGCGACGTCGGAACTTGGTGCTCTTGGAGGCACCTCCGCCTCCCCCGGGCAGACGCCGACCTATCCCGGTGAACACCCGGCATCGACGACCACCGGTCCTCTCCGACTCCCCGGCCTCCACCGTCGCCGGCGTCACCAGGCCCACGACGACACCGGCCAGCGCACGCCAGCCCGCTCGACCATCCGCGAACCGATCGGTTCCCTCAACCGGCACCCGCCGACACACGCCATCCGCTGTCGCACCGCCAGCCACCACGCGCCAGTCAGCGACGCCTGACGAAGCGGACCAGCCAGCGCATCGCGCCAACACAGGCCAACAGGTGCGATCCCTTGTCGCGCCACCAGCCAGGGAGCCACCCCAACCGGCACCACGCCCGGGACCGCCACGACCCATCCAGGTCACTCTGGGGGATGGCCAAACCGTCGACATACCGTACCACGCCGCCACCATCTCACGGCGGTATAAGGTACGCACCCCGACGGGCCGGTGGATCATCAGATTCGACCGACGAGGAAGACCGCGAACGATCCGTCGAATAGCCACCCCCCCCTAGAAAAGGAGGGTGATGTGACGACCCGATTAGCCGTCACTAGTCGCCCGCGCTCGTGTAAACGGCCCCTTTCGGGGCCACCACACGAATACGTTGGGAATCCGCCTTTTCGCCCCCACCCGTCACTCGACCCCCTCCAAGCTAGTCTTAGAGTGGGGTGGCCGACGGGTATAAAGAGCGGCGCAGCCGAGACTTCGACACCAGTCCCGTCCTGGTCCCTCGAGCGTACTCAGGGATCACTCCTCAACTCCCACACTCCAAATCACCCCGGCCGACGAGCGTTCTCGTCGTGCAGGCCGAGCGTTCTCGGTCACCGGGTCCTGTCCGTAACTCACCCCGGCCGACGAGCGTTCTCGTCGTGCAGGCCGAGCGTCCTCGGTCACCGGGTCCTGTCCGTAAATCACCCCGGCCGACGAGCGTTCTCGTTGTGCAGGCCGAGCGTTCTCGGTCACCGGGTCCTGTCCGTAACTCACCCCGGCCGACGAGCGTTCTCGTCGTGCAGGCCGAGCGTTCTCGGTCACCGGGTCCTGTCCGTAACTCACCCCGGCCGACGAGCGTTCTCGTCGTGCAGGCCGAGCGTCCTCGGTCACCGGGTCCTGTCCGTAAATCACCCCGGCCGACGAGCGTTCTCGTCGTGCAGGCCGAGCGTTCTCGGTCACCGGGTCCTGTCCGTAACTCACCCCGGCCGACGAGCGTTCTCGTCGTGCAGGCCGAGCGTTCTCGGTCACCGGGTCCTGTCCGTAACTCACCCCGGCCGACGAGCGTTCTCGTCGTGCAGGCCGAGCGTCCTCGGTCACCGGGTCCTGTCCGTAAATCACCCCGGCCGACGAGCGTTCTCGTCGTGCAGGCCGAGCGTTCTCGGTCACCGGGTCCTGTCCGTAAATCACCCCGGCCGACGAGCGTTCTCGTCGTGCAGGCCGAGCGTCCTCGGTCACCGGGTCCTGTCCGTAAATCACCCCGGCCGACGAGCGTTCTCGTCGTGCAGGCCGAGCGTCCTCGGTCACCGGGTCCTGTCCGTAAATCACCCCGGCCGACGAGCGTTCTCGTCGTGCAGGCCGAGCGTCCTCGGTCACCGGGTCCTACCTGAAAGTCACCGGCGCCCGACGGAGCTCGCCCTTCTCAGGGCGCCCGTACGCGTGTCCGCGTTGGAAACTCTAGCAATAAGTCGTGTCCGCGTCCGTATAATCTGGTCGCGTCTCGTCCGTAATATTTCTATCCGTCAATCCTAGCAATAAGTCGTGTCCGCGTCCGTATAATCTGGTCGCGTCTCGTCCGTAATATTTCTATCTGTCAATCCTAGCAATAAGTCGTGTACGCGTCTGTATCATCTGGTCGCGTTTCGTCCGATTATACTGTGCTGTGTATAATGGTTTGAATCACGGGAGAACCACAGGAAGGTGGCCCCGAATAAACTCTACTTTTACCAGAGCAACCGTGTGTCATTGTAAATCTGAGTCTCCCCCTTCCCGAATCCTGGCACCGACGAGCCGATCCGTGGCGTCGGGAAAGGTGCTTCGTTACATCTTATTAGAGATATTTAGTTCTAAACATATTTAAAAGTTTACGAGATTTTGGTCTTTTCTTCATTTCGCAATAGCATTGGGTAAATATTTTTTGTTATAAAAGAATGTGCACATTTAATAATGTAACAAATTCTTAAATGTTTATGTCATAAGATATACATTATAATTAGGAACGAATATTTTTTAATGTTTATTTAGTTTTTAATACAAGAGTATGTGCGACAAGCCTAAAAAGTTTTTTCAAATCATTAATCAATCTTTTTTACTTACAGTGCATCCGTTACCCTAGGAATAATGCAATGTTAAATCTATGCATGCGTATATTTACCAGTGCTGAATATGACTAGAGTGTAACTAGAGTATGATATAATATTTTTAAATATCATGTCTCCTTACCTTTTTGTCCTTTCAATCTAAGGAAAGACTGAAGTGTGACGATGACAATTATACTGATAAGTTTGCTGTAGAAACAAGGTTTAAATGTCACATTCTCTATTAATTTTGTTTTTTTATTTTAAACAGCCCAAAGAACTTGATGGATACTAATTTGCAAGTCATATATCCAGTTTACATCAAATGTTAGGGAAGAATCCATTACAAAACATGAGAATCTTTTAAGGGAGAACTTAATATTATTGTATCCACTGATAGAATCTTGTGACCTGTAATAAAAAGATCATCGAATGACCATTTGAAAATATTATATACTGTAATTGCACTAGTCATACCCAGTACTGATATTGTGTCGCATAGATTCAACATAGCATTATTTCTAGTAATGATTGCGCTATAAGTAAAAAAGATTGATTAAAAATTTTAAGGCTTGTTGCATATATACATACTCTTGCATTAAAAACTATAAATATACAACAAAAGTTATTCGTTTTTAATTATAATGCATCTTATTACATTTACATATTTAAGAATTTGTTACGTTACTAAATGATTTTTCCTCAGCGAAAATATCGAGAAAGGTCATCATTTTTTTATTGTTCCCAACTTTTGAAATCATGTATCTTTGTAACTAACAATAAGCTTTAAATTAAAATTCTATTAAAGTAAACTTTACCTAAAATTAACTAAAAAATGTAGTTTTGTTAATAATTTATTTTTTACATTTATTTTTTAATTTACAAAAAATCTTCTATTTTCAATCGTTTATAACACAAAAATTATTAGTGCCTGGACATTTTCGCTGAGGAAAAATCGTTTCCAAATCGCCTCAGGAATCTCCTATTAACGTGTGATACGGTAGGTCTGGGACACCCTGTATATACACCCACATATATATAATATATTGTACAATATATATATTTGTCTAAAGGTAGTTTTGACGACATCTTGAAGTATAAGTTGGCAGTTTTGACGACTATTGGCAGTTTTCACGACTGTCGTCAAGACATCGCGGTATATATAAAGGCATTCTTAATGATCATATGCACTTTTTTAAATATGCATGTAGCTGCATTTAATTTAAAAAATAGTAATATTTTTTTTTCTATTATAAATATATATAGAGAGGAGTAAAAATATTTATATTACCATTCAAAGCTTTAATATTTATTTCAATGCTTTTCCTTACAAAAGATTAATTTAAAGCTTAGTCTACAATAGAGTCGTAAATCATAATGGCTCCTGCACACCAGCGCGATGACGCGACACGCGATGCGCGATATCCAATGAGCGTGCAGCTTTTCCGCATGTCTAGTCTATATCGTCTATATACGATTTCCGCAAACTCGTTTAGAACATCAATATCATCATGTAGATGAGCAATACATATATTGCAATCGAGTTATTTTATATTAATAGATCGTTTTTTATGTAAGTGTATAATTGATTATGATTATGTAAGTGTATAGCCATTATCTTTTGATATTCGCATTCACACTCTTTTTGTGATATATCATTAGATTAAAAATAAAATAATATGTTAACCTCATAACCTAACCATACGGATGGCTCGATGACGGAATAAATATTATATTCTCGATTTTGTTTCTGCGCATATTTGCATTTGTTGCAGTTGTTTATACACACACACAAAATGTTTATATTAATATTTGCTAAAGGACGTTATACTGTGTGTTCAAAAAAGAAAAAAGTAAAAAAATCTCACATTATCGCAGTTCATAGTGAGTATATGTATTAATATATAATATCTATAATAACCCTTTCCAGAATTATAAAAAAATTATTCAGAGAATATGATTTGATATTGTCTTGCATATCTTTTGCATTTTTTATATACATTTGTGTACATTTTTATAAACAGATTTTTTTTATTTTGCAATATTTATGTACAGTATTGTGGTATCTAAAATTTTATAAAATTATATTTATTTTTAAATATATTTATACACATGTATGTTATTCACTGTCATTCTACAGATATATTGTAATATTATTTATGCAAAAATAATATTGAAAAATATCTATGCAATAATATTGCATAGCAATATATGTGTATAATGTGTCCATTTTTTATTTTCTTTTTTATGTATAAATTTCAGCAAATAAATCTGTTTTACAAGAAATTGCAGACAATTTGAATAAAGCAATTCCAGCTATAGAATTATTAAATATTTCATCAGGTAATGTTAGAATATATGCATTATTTATATATATACATATATATTAATTTAAAAAATTTATTCAAAATTATACTTATTTAATATATGTACAATAAAATATTATTCAAATTTCATTTCTTAGATGTATCGCTAACTTCTGATACTAATAACACATCAAATGATATATCAAATATGCCAAATTCGAATAAGAGTGAAGATATTTGCGCATCATCGAATGATTCCAATAATATTGAACAATGCACTAAAAGTGACAAAATTGGTAACAGTTTACCGCTGTTTGATATAACACACAGCAATGATAAAAATCCTACATTTTCGTCTAAAAATGTTCCTACTCTCTCTAGTGATGGCAGTCCCAATAAAGTAGTTAATAATAAAATAGCTAATGATAACATGATAAATGGTAAGTCTTTGATATGTTTAATCTATTTGTATACATAATATGTATTGTGCAATTATGTAAATATTTTTTAAATTATAGTTATATTTATTTTTTATAAATTACAAAACTAAATTAAAAATTAATAAAAATAATCTAGTAAATTTTGTTTTTCTATAAATTATGTTTGCGATACAATATTTTATATACATATTTTTTAACTTATTTAATTATTTTTCAAATGCATTATTAACTGCAGATACAAATGCCACATTAAATATTAATACATCGGATATGAATACATTGGATATGAATACAAAAAATATTTGTACATTAGTTGATAAAAACTGTGATATATAATGCAACGTGTGTGATAAAAGTGAATAATACAATGCTTTGTGATGATGCAAGTGCGAATAATGAAATTAAAGATCGTGCATATTTGCATAACGATAATCCTATTACCAATAAAAATTCTAATGAATTAACTAATAATATCAATATAATGAATGGTAAGATTTCTGCATATATCTAATTGTATATGTAAGACATTTTAAATACATTCAATGTATATTTATTAGACATTTTCTTTTTTATGATAATTGTACGCATTACTTTTTATAAAATATTTACAAAATGAGTATTATGTACGTACTTTTAATAAATTGTTATCAGAATAAATAATAAATTGTTATCAAAAACAGATAAAGGGGTTAAGGATATGGAATCTTAATTGTGAAAAGAATAGATATTTTTAAATGTTGGTGTATGATTTTGAAGAATTTATTTATTTATAACCAAAACGCCAAACGTTTTGATTCAATTCTGATTCTTTTCTTTATCAATAGCAGTACAAGAAACTAAAATACACAAATATCATAAAGCAGATTAAATGTACAAATATTAAAGTTGCAGTGGATACAGCATGTCAGAGATATAAAAAGGTGTCATAAAATCAAATCAGCAATGATTTATGCAATAGCAGATATAAAATGGCTGTAAAAATATATAATAACTAAAAAGGTTAATTATTTTAAAATTAATAAAGATGAACTATTTTAAAACTAATAAAGAGAGCAAACAAAGTCAACATGTGCAGGTATTCAAGCAAGAAAAATCAGCTCTTAGTCGTTTCATTTTACAAGTTATTAGTTTGATATTACAATCTTTTTTTAGCTTTCTAATTTGCATATTGCATAGACTTAATTATTACGTAACTGCTTTTAGTATTAATTCTCTATTGTGCTCTTTGTTATTAATAACTTAGTTATATGAGATATTGATTTTATGGATCTGTGTGTGAATTGCACAGAGTTGAAATATTTGGCATTTTATTTATAAATAAAAGTAAATTATATACAATTGATACCAATATCTGCATTAGTCTTTTTTTTTAATTATACATTTTTCTTTTCAGATTCATCATTCATTGATACTGATGCTATATTAGATATTAATACAATATTAAACATTGATACATTAAATGTAAATTCGAATATAGAAAATGTTTGCACGTTTTTTGATATGGAGCAATGCAGCATGGATGATAAAAATGATAATATAAGATCTTGCGATGCAAATAAAATTAAAGACCTTGCGCATTTACCTAAAGATATTTCTACTATTGACAAAAATTGCAATAAATTACTTAATACTAACAACATAATAAATGGTAAGATTTCAGCATATGTATACTGAATATGACTATATACTATTTAAAACAACATTTTAAATATATTTTGCATATTACTTATATTTACAATAAAAATATACATACTCTATAAATTTTTATCAAAAATGAATATAAAAAAAATTCAAAGATGTAGTATCTAAATAAAGTAAAAATATCAATTGGAAGCAATAGTTATTGGTACATTAAGTTTTGAAAATCTTATTTTTATTTTTATTTCTAGATTCATCATTAATTAATGCTGCTGTATTACCCATTGATACTACATTAAATGTTAATGCATCAAATATAAATTCGAATATAGATGATATTTGTTCATTATATGACAAAAACGATATTGAACAATGCAACATATGTGATAGAAATGATATTTTATATGACAAAAACGCCTGTGATATTGAGCAATGCAATATAACTGATAGAAATGATATTGTATATGACAAAAATGCCTGTGATATTAAGATATGCAACATAAGTGATAAAAATGATATTAATATAACGCTTTGTGATGCAAATATAAAGGCAATCGATAAGATTAAGACTATAAAAATTATATCCAATGTAGAATTTAATAATACTTATAAAATTATTGACGAAGGAAATATTTTAAATAAGACTTGCGTCATGGATAATAACAGTTTAAATACTATGTTGGTAGATTTTGCTCCACTTGCAGAATCTACATTAACAAAAGAAAAATCAACATCAGAATGTATGAGTACTAATGCTAATATTGAGTCTGATAATTCTCTTACATCTGAGCGTAATATGGATGACAGTTTCCACACATCAGATTGTTCTGTATCAGAAGATTCAGATGAAGATGAACTTAGCGATAATACAAATCATACAAGTATAAATAAAAGTAAATTAAATAAAAGTAAATTAAATTTAACAAGTTCATTAAATTTATCTAAAGTAAATATATGTGACGATAAAGATATGTACGTTGAAACATCTGATAATCGCAAATTAAAGTTGAGTATGTGTCCATACTGTAAAAAATTGCAATCACAATTTGCAAGGCATTTAGAATCAATACACAATACTGAAGAAGATGTAAAAAAGTTTTGTTTCTTACCTAAAGGTAAATAATTATATATTTTTAATATCTAAATTTTATCATTTTTAATAATCTAAATTTTATCAAAGTAGTAGATTAAGGACTAATCGGAGCTAGGAAACGTAAGAATAAGCGTCGAAATTTCTAGAAATGCTAGAATTTCGACGCTTATTACGTTGCGTTTCTTAGCTTCAATTGGCCCTCAATCTGTTACTTTTATATTTACTATTGAAGCCCTTTGCAATTTCCTAAATTTTATCATTTTTATTTTTTTACAAATTTTAGGTAACCCAGAACGGAAAAAAATTATTGCTATAATTAGACGAACAGGAAATTTTGTATATAATACAGATCCTAACGTTAATAAAGGAAATTTAATTGTATGTCGTCGTCCGGCAAAAAAATTAAACAAGCAAGCGGTCGATTTTATTCCATGTGCAAAATGTAAAGGATACTTTTCTAAGAATAACATTCGACATCATTTTAAGTTATGTACACAAAAGACTGAGTCTCGTCAAAGAAATGTAAAAGTATTAGGACGCACAGTAGCTTGCCGTATACATTATAGTGCAAGTACAGTATTAAAAAGACTAGTATTTCCAGTGACGAGAGAAGATACTATAACTCAGCTTATTAGATATGATGAGTTATTAATTGCTTATGGAAATAAAATGTGTCTAAAGTATCGTCTTCAACACCAACATGACATGATTAGAGCACGATTAAGACTACTAGGACGATTTCTGGCTACTATGAAGGAAATTGATAATACTGTGGTAGATTTTACTTCAATATATAATCCAAAGAGATATGATTATTGTGTGAAAGCTGTTAATAATCTTGCACAATTTGATGAAACAACATGGACATACAAGGTATCTTCTGTAGCATCATCGTTAGAAAATCTCATAAAGCAAGTTGGACAAATTTTAAGGAGCATATGCATAAAAAGACAAGAACTCGAGAATCAAGTTATAGTAGAAAATTTTTTAAAATTATTTGAAGAAGATTATCCTATCAGCGTAAACAAAGTTGTACATGAAACTCAAGGCCGTCGAATGAGACAAAGAAACATAGTTTTACCGTCTATAGATGATATTAAAATATTGAATTCTTATTTGAAAGATGAACGTACGAATGCTCTAAAATTATTACAAAACGATGGATTTTCAATTCAAACGTGGCGAAGACTAGCTGAAACGACATTAGTGTCTACCATGATGTTCAATAGAAGACGTGCTGGCGAATTAGAACGCATTTTAATAGAAGATTTAAAAAATCCTGCGGCAATTTCAAAAGACGAAGCACCTGAGTTACAAAAATCCTTATCGAAATATGTGCGTGTAACAATACGTGGAAAATTAGCAAGAACAGTTCCCGTTTTACTTCATGAGGAATTATTGTCATGTATACAAATGATCGTCAAGTATCGTAAACAAGCTAGTGTTCCCGTAGAAAATCCTTATGTGTTTGGTATAAACTCAACTGATAAAAGAAGACACAAATATTTAAGAGCATGTGTCCTAATGCGCAAATTTTCTGTAGCCTCTGGAGCAGAGATACCAACTTCTCTACGAGGTACAACATTACAAAACACATTGCTACAATGTGCATTACATTAGATGTATCTGATAATCAAGTTAGTGATTTGGCAAACTTCATGGGCCATCATGAAAAAATACATAGATCACATTATAGGCAATCTGTTATCACAAAAGATTTGGCTATATCACGATTGTTAAAATACGCTCAAGGAGAAGAGACATCCGATGAAAGCAATGAAAGTCAAGAAGATGATAACATAGAATCAGATAATGAACTTAACACAAATATATGTTTAAAAACTACTAATACGTTACCTATATCAAAAAATATAAAAAAATTTCAACAATTTAGAAATGGCGATCAAATGAATAATATATTAGAAAAAAAGAAGAGAAAAGGTATGTTTAAATATATATTTACATTTAATACAGATTCCAAATGTATGTATACATATATATAACCTTTGAAATATATTTATACTGCTTATTAATACAAGTATATAATGAGATAAATAATTAATTAATGAAAGGCTCGTATAATTTAACAAAATTAAACAAATCATATATAGTAGGCCAACTGAACGAGCAAATAAATAAGGTGTAAAAATTTTTATTAATAGTTAAATAATTAAATTAACATTCCGTTACAGAATCGATATAAATTGTAAACGTTTCGACTGCACTACAGTCTTTATCAATACATAAAAGTTAAATATTAAAATACAAAGTTAAATGTTAAAAATACAAAGTTAGTTAAATATTAAAATATAAAATTGAAACGATTCTTCGCTGTTGACCAATAGATATGCAAGGCGATTGGTCTGAGATGCCAAGTTATGCGACATTTGAGCATGATTATCGTTTTAACAAGTCCTTTTCCCCGATATTTCAAGTGTGTGTTGCGAAGTCTGAATACCAAATGGTAAGAGATAAATAATAATATGGTATCTATAATTAACATAAAAAGCATTGGATATAGGCATATGTTATAATATTGATATTTTATAGTGCATTCCTTCGATTCTACAAAGAAAATTAAAAAAAAATCAAAAAAGGAAACAGTTTATGATAATAAAAATGTGATAGAATCTAACGATGAATATGAAGATGACGATGAATATACAGATTTAAGTAAAAATAGTTCAAGTAATCAATCTACAAGAATATTAAAAAAACCGGAGAAATGCTTAGCAGGAAAGATAGTATAAATAGTAGTACAGAAAAAAGAAAGAAGAGAAGTATGTTTAAATAATGTTTATATATAATACATTGGTATAATTTATTCTTGATATAATTGTATATAAAATTTGCTTATAAGTATATTAGTACTTATAAGCAAATTTACTAACATAATCTTCATATTTCAGTATCTCCTTTTGGTCGTAAAAGAAGACAAGCTAATAAAATCCGATGGACTGATAATGAACGCGAAGCGGTCTTATCCTCATTTTCAGTCAATATAAAAAATAATAAATTGCCATCTTTTAGTCAAATAAATGAAATAAAAGTCAAGTATCCTATATTGAAAAACCGCACAAACGCTCAAATAAAATCTTGGATTAGTAATCAAATAAAAACAAAAAGTTAATTATTTTAAAGGTATTATTATATATATTTAAAAGTATAACTATTCTAAAAATTTGATACGTTCAATACAAAAAGACAAAACAATATTGAATGTTTTGTTTTTTTTTATTTTATTATATTGAAGAAGAAAATTACTATATTTAAGTTCTGATATATTTTACTTAGATACAAATTTAAAATATATTACAAAAATTCTTTGAAAATGATGAAGAGTAGATTCATATTAAGACATATGTATTATTTAAAAGAAAGAAATTATATAGAAATTAAGATTTCAGTAATTATATAAATATATTGGATTGGATGTTTCGTTTTGTTTCTTTAATTTTTTATATTCAGGAAGAGAATTACTATATTTGAGTTTTGTTTTGCTTAGATACATTTTATTATATTCAAGAAGAAAATTACTATAAATTTTGTTATATTTTGCTTAGATATAAATCTAAGATGTATCACAAGAATTCTCTAAAAAAGATAAAGATTGATTTAATATTAAGACATGTATTCATTAAAATAAAGAACTTATATAGAAATTAAGATCTCGGTAATTATAAAATACATATAAAGCAATATATTCAGTGCATTATTAACTATAAACGTTATGCGTATTTGTGATTATATATGTTATATAATGTGATTTATATGTATACCATTCAGAATTAAATTAAAAAGATTATTACTCAATATAATACTAGAAATGTTCTCAATAAATTAAGAAATAATAATAAATATGATATTTTTTATTCCAAGCAATCTAATCGCCCATTAGTGAATAGAACATGCAATACTAAATTAGTATCGCATATACGTATAATTCAAAAACAGGACGTATATGAACGTAGCCTATAATTGGGTCCTTAAAAAATTTTAAATCTTTATATCTCAAAAATTACTACTTTCCTTAAAAACATCTAAATCCTTACATCTCAAAAACTACTGCACAAATTCGTTGTAAAGTATAATTGTAAATACTTTTATTTTTTAATTTTACAAAAACCTTTTTCCTATGGTGTTTTGAGTCACAAGTTTCAACATACAACATGGAATATGTTAATAATTTAAGACACATTTTCCTAATTATATATTTAACAAAAATTATTAAATTATTATAGTTTAATTAATTAACTTCAGATTCTTTATAATAAAATAGTTACTTAAAAAAAAATAAAAATTATATACATATATCATAAACTAATATGTGAAAATATCCAATGCATAAAGAAATTAAAAATTTTTCTGTCACGTAAAACAATCAAATTAAGTAAAAATATTAAATTTTGCTTATATACTAAAAATTCTCTATTGTGAATTTTTCTTTATACTACTATTTCGCATATAAGTCTGATTTAATTTTTCCTACATAGGACATTAGTTGGTATAATATAAATCCGATTTAATTGTCTTATTACATATATTGTAGTAACAGATGTAATGTTCACATTCCTGTAATTTGTGCAGAGTATATATTGTATATGTATATAATATGTATACATGTGTATATATGTATAATATAATATAATATATATATATATATATATATATATATATATACATACATTTGTTTCGACATTTACATGATTAATACCTTCTTAACGTTTCGGCTGACATTTCAAGCCTTCTTCAGCGCAATAAAAATATTTTAATTATAAATTGAATTGTAATATTAAACATTAAAGACAGTTATTAACAATGTCAAGATAATACATATATAAAATCAGCTTTAGATCTCGTTACATATGTTGCTAAACAAGTCATTGTGTATGACAACCACCATTACTGATACATACTGAGTTCGACCGTACCATGCAATCACTTATGAGTATAGACTTCCTGATTTACTGGTCAAGAGAGATATCTTGATTATATCTTCATGATGAAATGTTGTTAAGCATTAAATTGAGATCTAAATAAACAATATCTAATAATTTATGACATGAGATATTTAGTAGAAGACATAATAAATATATATGTTTGACGTAAGAAGAAGGTATTGCTAATTATGAAAAAGCGATCTTCATTAACATTCACGAAGTATCGGAAAGGTCAACCACAACTTTTCAAGAAAAAAAGTTTTTATATAATTATATATACAAGTATGTGTCCATATAATGTTTTGTTTCTCTTAGATACTCTACTTATTATATTTTTTAAGAAGAGAGAGTTTTTTTAAGTGATGTTTGTAATTAAATCAATATTTTTTTATGTGTATGTTGTGTATGTACATATATGTATGCATATATAATCTTCTTTTCTGGATTTGCAAAATTCGAATGAAAACTACATGAGAAAAAGAAATAAATATAATAATTTTATTATTTCTTTTTTTGCATTAAGAAAAATTTGTACATGCTTTACAAGTTTTAATGTTCTGTTATTATTGATAAAAAAATGATACTAGAAGTTTATTATCAATTATTATGATATGAAAATATTCAGAGATATATAATTAAAAAATGCTAACATTTAGCTACCATTTATTATAAATTTTATACAACATTTAATTGATTAATTTTACAAATTACGAATTTAACAAGGCTCTGTAATATAAATATAAATAAATTGAGAGTGTCAAACAGGCAATAAAAGCCAAATCGCAAATGACAATGCGTTATCCCAACGAAACTAAATTTTTTCGTTAGGATTAAAAACCTGTGCACAAGGCACTAAATTTTACTTGAACACGGCCAAGATTAAAATTGGAATAATCTCTACAAGAGATTTATAATTCCATACATCCCCTGTTCCCCCCTTAAGGAAATAAATACGAGAGAAAAATATAGATCCGAAAGTCGCTGAATTGGGAATCGAACCCGAGATCTTTCGCTTGCCAGGCGACTGCTCTTCCATCTGAGCTATTCAGATCCCTTCGATTCTATACTTTTCTCTGCTATATCTATAATAATGTTGATAAACAAACGCCTTTAAGCCAGCGTATACAAATTAAGAATTTAACAAGGTAATATAAATATAAATAAATTGAGAATGTCCTCCAACTTTTTTAAAAGTTCAAGAATATATACGAATTCAAGAACATTATAGGTTAAAATTTTGTCCTTTACATTATGTGCATTGAACATCTTTCGCCATTATGATTAATTTTGGATGACAAAACTACCATATATCTTGTATATAATGTCAGAATATTTACAAGACTACCATAATTAACTTTTTTTATTATAATTATATTGTTGAGAATAATAATATCAATTTTTCCTCTTTCGTAATGTATACAATTTATTTATATATAAGTATATGAAAAACCTGTAAATCACCATTTCTGACATCAACGATAAAGTGAGGACAACATAAGAATTATATAAAAGAGAGACGCAACCCTATCAAAACGTATATATATACATTTGGTACTCTCTGCATAACTGTTTATAAAATTTGCCTTAAATATATGTACTCAAAATTATATCACCTTTTGATTTTTCAGCATAACTTGCTTTAAAGTGCATGGATCTCTACTCGAATAATAACATGTTTTGAAGGACGATATAACATATATTGAATTATAATTTAATGTTATATCAACTTTCAAAACATATTATAATTTTATAGAGATCTATTCACTTTAAAACATATTATGCTGAAAAATCAAAAGGTGATATAATTTTGGCCGGTACTGTATATGCAGGATAAGCCATTTTAATCAACGCACGTAAATATCTCGTATAGTAAGCAAGATGGAAAAAAGTTTTTCGAACAAAAGTTTTTTGACTATATGAGGGGCACATAAAATGGTGTTATTGATTTGACCTTGTATAATCATTTAAAGGTCACCTGCAATTTCTTAAAAAGAACCTGTTATTTTTCATTACATATTCTTATAGCTTATCTAAAGAGCTTTTCAAATCCTATAATAAAGTGTTGTTTGATGGAGTACTTTTAAAATTATAAAAGTTTAAAGTTTTTACAATTTTTTGGCCTAAAATGTAAAATATCTTGTAAAATGTTCAGTTCAAATCAACGAAACCATCTTATGTCCCCCTCATAGTCAAAATACTTTTGTTTGGGACATTTTTTCCATCTTGCTTACTATACGAAATATTTATATGTGTTGATTAAAATAACTTACCCAGTATATGAAACACTTATCAATTAGCCTTCGATGAAGAATTAGCAAATCAAAGATTAGAAGATTAGAAGATTAAATTAGAAAAAATCTTTTCTCAATGAGAAAAGTCGACCAAAATGGCATACCAATTTTTTCAGAAATATTTTTATTAATTATTACTGGCGGACCTAAAGGACTATTATTTGTTAGATTAGAAGATTAGAAACAGTGTAGCAGAGACAGACCTCTTCCTGTTTGAATCGAATCGTTTTCTTTCAGCAAAGTAAATTTTTCTTGTTCTAAGAAAATTAATACAAAATTGTTAAAAATCAATTAATTTTTTAATAAACATAATGTAATTATTCATTGTGCACACTCTTTATTTTTATTTTTTTTATTTTTTTAAAATATCATACATGGTCGCTTCAATAAAAGTAAAGCTGTAGTGGACGCAATTCAGTTTTAATACGATTGTGTGTTTAAATTTTTTAACACAAAATTTATTCTAGCCAGATAGAGGAAAATCAAATTATTCAACGAGCAAGATGGCTACAAAAATGGAAAGTGACATCGTCATTACAGGCATTTCAGGTAATTATACCGATTATGTCGACCGCGGTATAATCAATTTTATTATAGAAATGAGATACATTCATATTTTTTCCAGGTCGTCTACCTGAGTCCTCAAACATTGAGGAGTTTAAGGAGAATTTAATGAAAGGATTAGACATGGTTACCGAGGACGAGCGACGTTGGACACCAGGCATCCTCGGAATACCATCCAGATTTGCCAAACTCAAGGATCTTAGTAATTTCGACGCCTCTTTCTTCAAGATACATCCTAAACATGCGCACTCAATGGATCCGCAGCTTCGCATAATGCTAGAAGCGTCATACGAGGCGTTAATTGATGCCGGCGTCAATCCCTCAACCCTAAAAGGATCGCGTACTGGCGTGTTTATCGGTGTTTTCACTTCGGATGCGAATAATTTTTGGAAGAAAGATCCAAATGGTAGATACATTTGTTAAATTTATCGTGAAAATTTCCAT